TACACTCATCAGGACTGACGTGTCTTTTACTATGTCTAGGGGTCACTGTTCTCAGTGCGCTCTCCTTCAGATGCTCTTCACATTCAGGAAACCAACAGGTTCCTATCATCTTCTCTGACCACACCTGTACAGATCGGAACCTGTCATCATTCAGTTACCAAAACAAGATGCAGAAATCCAGCCCTGCTCTGGAGAAGGCAGCGCATCTCCTGCCCTTGGTCCAGCAGCAGACGCGGGGCCCTCCTCATGGTCCTCAGGACAAAGCAGGCACTTCTGTCTTCATGATCTACAGTCACCCTCGGTTCCTCGCTGCTGCCATAACAAATGGCCACAAACTCAGGGGCCTAACTAACACAAGTGTGTGACCGTCCAGCTGTGCAGATCACGAGTCTGAAGTGGCTGTCACTGAACTAAGACAAGGCATCAGCAAAGACATGCCATGTTCTGGAAGGTCTGGGACAGGGGACAAGGAGCCAATCCCATAGGTCCCAGGGGGCCACTGAAGAACAGGGAGCTCCTGGGGGTTCTGAGCAGATTACTGACAAGAAGACCGGCTCCTGAGAGAGACAGGAAGCAGGAAGTAGAAAGGGGTAGTGCCCGGACAGGAGGCTACAGGGCACAGTGGGAGGGGAGCAGGCAGGGGCTCCTGCAGGGCTGGCGTGTTCACTCCAGAGAGGAAGGTGTGGAAGGCTCCGAGTGAAGAAGTAATGTGCTCTGGCTCTCGTGTGAACAGGACGGCTCAGGTGGCGGGCTGTGAATAGATGGGGCAGGGACAACGAGGAAGGCGGGCATCAGTCAGGAGATGGCAGGGCTCCAAGAAAGGTGTGCGGGGGAGGCCCTGGGAGGTGTGGGTTCCAGGTACATATAAAGACAACATGGACAGGACAAGCTGGGTGTGAGCAAAAGCAGTAAAAGATGCTGCAAGGGGCCTACTTACCTAAAAGAAGGGGAAAGCCCTCATCTAAAGCACTGGATGGCTCTTCTGGAGGAAGAAAAGTGAAGACAGAGAAGACAGGCAGAGATACAGCTGTGGGAGCATTAGGTCTTCAACTGAAGATGAGACCAACCAGAACGGGGTACCGTGTGGACTACGCAGAGCGCGGGATGGAACCATGGCCACAGCTCTAAGGACTTACAAAAACCTAAGAGGCCAGAAGGGGCTGGCAGGTGGGGCCAGGGCCAGCCTCTGGCATTCACCACAGGACTTCCTTCCGGGTCCACATCTCTTGGTGCTCCAATATGTCATTTACTGGAGTTTTCAAAGACAGCCTACAGAATGAACTTTCCACGTCCTCATTGCTCCTACAGACACTTTCATCCCACATGTTGGTGGCTGACAATGTATCTGGTTTAGACTTCAGAGACACAAGGTGTTTCCCCCAGGGCCTCTGAAGACCCTGTTTCAGGGCTACCCTGAATCTGGCATCGCTGATAACAGTCTGACGTAAATACCGCCCTTCATCCTAAGTAGGAGGCTTCTCTGGTAGAATCTGGATCTTCTCCATACACTAACCTTGGCTCTTCTGCAGTGACCCCAAACTTATCTCCAGGGCTGCCTGGGACATGGCGCTGACACTAGGCTATGGTCAAGAGAAGTGATGTTTGTGACCATGGGCTACTGATTACTCGGGCAGGACACAGGGGCCTGTACCCGTTTGGGAATCATGACTGGATTTACAACTTGCACCTGATGTTGGTGGCACGTGGCCACAGGGTGAGGCTGGTTACGGAGGTGGAGCGTGCCCGTGTGCCCATCTCACAGATCCCACCTCCTCACACCCAGGCGTTGCACACGTGGCAGGTGATGGCCAGGAGTGTCACGGCCACGAGGCCAGGCCTGCGATGCCCAGAGCCCTTCAATGAGCACGGCTCTCCTACTGCGGCTGCTCTGTACATGCCACCTACTCACAGTGGAGGCCTGTGAATCCTGTCAGCGACCACTATACTATTAGTGTGTAATTAGCACACATATGTAATAGGAGTAAACTTTGTTAATTAAAGAACTGAAAACATCTGTAATGAATTATGACAAGAATCCTGAGTTTTCCTGGTAAAAAGGAACCTGCAGAGGTTTTGGTTCTCCTGAGTCAGGCAGCCTCTCAGATAACTACTTTCTACAGAGCACAGCTATCCAGCAGGAACATAATGCAGGCCACGTACACCGTTTAAAAATTTCTAGTGGCCGCATTAAAAAACTGTAAAAAGGTACAAGTGAATTTAATTTTAATGATACATTTCCTTTAACCTAGTATGCCAAGAACAAAACTAACAGATTATTGATGAGATATTTTACATTCCTTTTTCATTACTAAATCTCTGAAACCTGGGGTTTATTTTTACTTTGTTGTTGTTGTTCAGCCGCTAAGTTGTGTCCAACTCTCTGTCACCCCATGGATGGCAGCACGCCAGGCTCCCCTGTCCTTCACTATCTCCCGGAGTTTGCACAAACTCATGTCCATTGAGTCAGTGAGGCTATCTAACCATCTCATCCTCTGCCGCCCCCTTCTCCTCCTGCCTTCAATCTTTCCCAGCATCATGGTCTTCTCCTACTGAGTCGGCTCTTCGCATCAGGTGGCCAAAGTATTGGAGTTTCAGCTTCAGTCCTTTCCAACACACTTAGAAAACATCAAGTCAGACTAGCTACACTCAAGTATTCAGCAGTGGCATACAGCTACCATATCGGGCAGTGCAGCAACAGGGTCTGAGACTCAATTTAATTACTAAGCAACTCTAGATAACAACAGGCTATCTCCTTTCAGAAAATGGTTGGCTTTTAGATCTATCTTAATTTACATGAAAATCCTGCATTTTCAGATGTTACAGCACTAGATGAAAGTGGGTTATGAGTAATTCCCACCTGCCATCACATTGATCCAGTATCATGTGGATTTCATGCTATTCCTAGGGAGGGCAGGGGTCAATCCATGCCAATCGAGGTTTCTCTGCCTCATGCTGAAAATCAATCACCAACTGCTAAGACTTGCTAAATTCTAAACAGTGATCAATTACTGTGAAGTAGAACAACTTGCTCTTTGGCCGCACAGATTTACTAATATTGATCTTCATAGAAGTCTGACAAATATGTTCTCAAAACTTATGTGTTTCTATTTGATTTAAATTTTTCTTCACAATACGAATGTTTTGATGCCTGGTAATGTTCTAACACTGGCTAAAGGCCGACACATGCCCAGTGATCACTGGTTCTTTCCACAGTAGGAATCCTCTCATGTGCAGCACATATGATGTTAAAACCACAGCACATCTGTCACAGAGCCTTCCCAAAGTGAAACTCCTGATGTAAGAAAGTCTAACATCTCCTAAATGTCTTGGGAAATTCATAATCTTTGAAAGGCTCCCCTCCTGCACAAATGTTCTGAAGTCTATTAAGGTTGATGCAACAGTTTAAAGAATTTCCTCTCTTGTATCTGAAATTTATAAAACTACATATGCCCTAACAGCCTTCCCATAAACATTACATTTACAAGGTTTCCTCTCCAGAGATTGCATTTATAAGGTTAAATATGAAACAGAGCTATAGATAAACTAGAAAAAGTCAGAAAGTGTCATAAAAATTTTGTGAAAAGAGACTATTTCAAGTACAGCACATGGATAGATACTAACACATATTTCAATCCTAAGTGAATGTCTCTCCTTTTAATAATCCATTTGAATAGTCAGTATTACAGTATCACAGAAGTAACAACATTACATATAATTTATATGTAACATATAGCCTTAAGTCTAAGTTCTACCACTCCCTTTTTTGTGCTTAAAAATAGTTAAGGCATATAAGTTAACGAGTAGCAAATTAATCTCGTTATAATAAAAGGGAAGGAGTATATCTGATGGTCCTCCTCACTGGACGTTTGTCTTCCTTAAAGATGAATATGAACGAAGCAGAGGAGCAGCAGGGAGGAGGGGCCTCCTCAACACTTGATCAAATAAACATCCTGACAGCTTACATTCTGAACTCGGTTTTCTGAGATTCTGGTGCTCACTCCTTCCTCTCAGCAACCTCTGCCCACGCGGTGCTGCCCCCACAACTCTTCACCACCCACTCTCACCAGCGCCCAGAGGAAGCCCATCCAGCGACTCCCACGTCCACATGCAGTGACGCCCTGCAGGCCCCAGCCACTGGGGCCCCGGGAAGTGCCGTCTGCACCATGCTGAGGTTAAGGCCCCCCGGGACCCCACCCACAACAGACTGGAGGCTATCTAAACAGGATCTTTCACATCCTCAGAACCTCATCAGGCGTGTGTATACAGGAGGCATTTGTTTTTTAAGAATCTGTCCTGTCTGAAATCATGAAAATAGATTCAAAATTACACTTTCTAAAAAACAATTTATTTCAACAGAATTAGAGGCTATTTTAATTGCTTTGTTCCTTATGTATTTCAAGAATGCTTTTCTAAAAAGCAGGTAAGAAAAACAAGTCAATGGCATTATATACGATGCAGTTATTTTTCTAAGAAATTTTACATAAATTAAAACTCTCGTCAGTCACATATTAACTCAGTAAATACTACAGAGAAAAGCTAGCATCACTGATATATTGGAATAACAATTATTACCCTGCCTTTATGGTGTGTGCCATTAACATTTAACCTAAACACACACTGAGGATGTATCCCAGGAAAACATACTCACCCTGACGTCGGTTGCATCTCCATGCCTGATAATACTGGCCCAAGTGGTTGGCTCACTGTTGCTTTCAAAATAATGAAAGACCTTTAATACTCGCTCCATGGCCCCAGGAGAACGCTCCACACCAGTACCCAGGTGAGTCTTGGTACTTGAACTCGGTGTGTGATTCAAGTTTGGGTCAAGGTAAGCAGCTGCCATTCTTTTGCTAGATGCTAGGTATCTGTCATATTCTGGAAAAGAAAATAAGTTTTTTCAGTGTACAATATTTGAAATCTACTGGTTAAAATGTATTTTACTGATACACTAACATAACAACACTGTTCTTTGTTCTCTCCCTATGATGTGTTGTATGCAGGTGAGCCTGAGGAGACCTGAGACCTATTCCCAGATAATCACTGTTTCCCACCATCCCACCACCCCCACCACCTCCACTCAGAGCAGCACCTGATTCACAGCAACATAATAAATATTTGTTAAACAAACTACTAGAAGGCTGGGAACCCTATTTCACCTTTGTTCAAAACTGGCTGTTATCTATAAACAATGTAACTTACCACCACCACCCCCTTTAAATCAGGCTCTAAATCTGTCAGAAATATCTCATAGGAAAGCAAAATGTGTTAATTTTACTGCCTATTTTCAAAATCTTTTAGTGATCTCTTTTGCTCCCCAAATTAGACAGTAAGGAGAATAAATATAGTATAAACTGCTTCCTGAAAAGAAACATTCCATCTTTGGAGTGGTCAGAAGAAATGATACACTAGTGACAAAAAATCACTACAGTTGACCCTTTAATAAGGCAAGTTTGAACTGCCCAGGTCCACCTCTATGCAGATCTTTTTCAATAGTAAATAAACACTACAGTTCAGTCGTGTCCGACTCTTTGCGACCCCATGAATCGCAGCATGCCAGGCCTCCCTGTCCATCACCAACTCCTGGAGTTTACTCAAACTCATGTCCATCGAGTCGGTGATGCCATCCAGCCATCTCATCCTCTGTCTTCCCCTCTTCTCCTGCCCCCAATCCCTCCCAGCATCAGGGTCTTTTCCAATGAGTCCACTCTTCGCATGAGGTGGCCAAAGTATTGGAGCTTCAGCTTCAGCATCAGTCCGTCCAATGAACACCCAGGACTGACCTCCTTTACAGACCTACACGATCCCTGGTTGGCTGAATCCCCAGAAGCGGAACCACAGGTACAGCGGCGCCCTCATTCAGGGGGCTGAGCACAAGCTACATGTGGACTTTCCCTGCGAGGGCTGGCACCCTAACCCTACGCCGCTCCCGGGTCAGCAAGATGCGTGACAGGGAGTGTGTCAGGGAGGTGCTAAACCAGAAATAACACACAATCCTGATACCTCTCTGTGGCCAAAACTCAATGGCAAAATCCTTCATAAACCTCTAAAAAGTAGGCCTAAACTTTTTTAGAGGATAAACCGTTCCATGACAGAATGTGGTTCTGCTTTATTGATTCGAGCTTTCATTTGCTTGTCAAAATTCGATTTGTGCTATAAACTCTCAAATTGGCCAACACCTCCACCCCATCAAGCCTTCCTTGACCTTTCTGGACAGTTCCATGGGCAAGTCTGTTAACCACCACCCAACCCTAGAGGTGATGTTCCTATCTGTCTTTCTGCAGGACTGAGGATTCAGAGAGCCTGGCATGTGAGCTGGTCAGTCTGTGGGATGGTGTCCACTATGGAATGAGAAGTCCTAAGTGCTGCTCTCTGCTATACTGACTCCTCTGCTTCCAAACAATTAAGAGAATTCTCTGCTGTTTGTGCCGTTCTCTACTTGGTTTTGGCCCATGGCTGAAGATGTACAACTGGGGCTGCCAACTCTCTATCTCTAAGTGAGAAGAGCCTTTGCCCTCCTTCACCAGAGAGGTGGGCTCCAACTGGAGTTTGTAGCTGCAGCCCTCTGCAATCTGTGGCTGGCTGCATTTTTTAGAACTTTTCAAGATTAACCAGTTACAGGCACCTGCTACTCACACACACTATAGAATATCTTTTTCAAAAAATTATCAAAGAAGAGGAAATGAAAAGGTTTTTAAAGTTGGCTTACTTGTATAATTTAGACCCCTGTTCTTCAAACCATCAGTGGTAAATGACCAGCTTTGTTTTCATTTCCAACCTGTCCCAGACCAATACTTTGTAAAATACAATGGGGAGGAATTTCTAGAAAAATGAAATTTTAAAATAGAAGACATACAAAAGCCAAGCACAAAACTTCTATCACTAGAGTCAAGGAACATAAAACTACCATCAAGTTGCTATGGTTTCCAGACACCTGTGCCAGATTCTGCCCTTACTTCGCCCTACACTGTGGACAGTCCCAGCACAGCCCCAGTCTGCGGGCCACTGCCAGTCAAGTCCCCGCTCAGGCACCAGGCTGCCTGGGGCAGCAAGAGGCCAGCGCCCGCTGGACTAGGAGATGGGAAAGCGGACGGCCTGTCAGTGGCGGCTGCTGACCTTCCAGCTTCAGGCCTTTCACTCACACACTAACTTCTTTCTTGGGAGAGCAAGGCAATCCCAAGGCAGGCAGGTGTGAGGACACAGGAGCTGACAAGCCTTGGCACTGACCCCGAGGCTCACTGCACAATCCAATATTAATGCTTCGTAAGACAGCACATAAGAAAAAGGAATAAAAATACAAGGACCACAACAAGAATCTTACTCCAGAGCTGCCTTGCTTGTATTCACTGTACATACTAAGATCCCACCAAGAGAGTAATCTCAGTAAGCTTGTGATAAGCTGGCCCTTTAATAAAACGAGATGATTGCCAAATTATGAGAAGCAAAGAACGCAAACTGATACAGCTAAATTTTTAAAAAATTAAAGACATCAACTAGTTTGAAGAGTTTTAAGAATTTGATAACCTTAAAGTAAATCCTTAAACAACCTAGACAACTGTGAAAGTTTTCTCCTTAATTTTGTTCTTTCACCCATGATTTCGGTTTATTTTCTCATAAAATGACTAACCTGAGTATCCTAAATGTCCCACAGTGATTTTACTAGACAGAGAAGCTAACATTATTTAAATGTTTGATATTCTAACATGGAAGGATATATATGAAACTCCAATACTTTGACCACCTGATGTGAAGAACTGACTCATGGGAAAAGACCCTGATGCTGGAAAAGACTGAAGGCAGGAGGAGAAGGGGACAACAGAGGATGAGATGGTTGGATGGCATCACCAACAAATGGACATGAGTTTGAGCAAGCTCCAGGAGTTGGTGATGGAAAGGGAAGCCTGGTGTGCTGCAGTCCATGGGGTCACAAAGAGTCAGACACGACTGAGCGACTGAATTGAACTTGGTATTATAATGTCAGTGTGTGACAGTTTATATTTTTTCAAATTCTCCCCCTTCCCAGTGCCCTTTTTCCAATGTGACCTTGACACCCTTTTCAAGAGGCAAAGTCTATGTTCCTTCCCCTCGAATCTGGGTTGGCTTAAACTAGGCTTAGATACACCCTAAGCCAGGTCATTAAAGGCAACACCAAAAAAAAAGGAAAGCAGGAACCAAGGTTCCCATGGTGCCCTTGGGAGGCTCACTGAGGAAGTCCACCACCACACTGTACAGAAGTTCAAGCAACCCAAGATCACAGCTCCAAGAACCACAGCTTCAGCTGAGCTTCCCATTGATGGGCGGCATCACCTCTGGAAAACTGAGACAGAGTCACCTTGAAAGACCCACTGGCTCCCAGCTGTGCTGCCACAAGACAACACCACACAGAAGGGATGAGCCGGCCCTGCTAAGCCCTGTCCAGACTGCAGACATGAACAAAACAAATAACTCATGCCATCTGAAGCCATTACGTGTCAGATGTATTGTTTTCAGCAACAGACAAGTGATACAGTGTATGTTCAACTGACATACACAGCAGTGATTCTTCCTTCACCTGGAAGTATGGGACATAAAATGACAACCAAAAGCTGTGTGGACAATGCTTGCCCCCTTCTTTGCATTGTTAAATTAAAGATACAGAGCGAGATCTTTTCAGTGCCTGGCAAATGTCACACACCTTCCTAAGTTTGGGTCACTTTCCTTCTACATTTTATTCTTTGTAATTTCAATGTCATGAAACACCTGAGAGTTCCTCTAATGCAAACTTTTTGCCATGTCACTTCCTCAGTGACATCTGCTTCTGTCACAATTATTTTCTTCACTTATGTCAGTAAGACATAAAAGACACCTACCTTTACTAAGTTCTTTTGGCTGCAAATCCAGAATGTCTGGCTCAAAAGCAAAGTCAGAATTCCTAGAGTTGGCTATTTTTTTCTGTAACTTCATGTATATTCAATTAGAGTCATACAAAGTTATTTCCACCAGGTAGTAAAAGTTTTTGCCATACTGTGTACTTAATTTCTAAGATCCCTAATTAGTTAGAGACCTTAAAAGTAACTGAATATTGGAGACTTAAAAAAAAATCCTAAGGAAATCAAGAATGGCAAAATAAAACATGTATGTTCTTTATAAAACCCAAATTAATAAAGTGCTGATAAGATAAATGTATTTCAGGTTGAAAACTAAGAGCACTCAGAGTATGATAACCTATTTGTTTATATTTTAACTGTGACCTGTCGTGGTGATAGAAATCGACTCAGGTCTCCTTTCCAGGGGCACTGACTGCAAGGGGCCAGCAGGGAGGCTGCGGGGAGCTGATGACCTTGCAAACCCTGATTTGGAAGGGGGCAGAGAGCCTGGGCCCGGCTGTGTAGGGTTTACGCACTTCACTGTACGGATGCTGTAACTTCAGTTACACATCTTTATTCACAAATGTGAGAACAAAAAAGGTTTGTCAGAAGACTCTTATCCAACAAGTGACCGAAAGAAACATGCAGTGCCAAAGCACACTAGCTAAAATTAACACCCAAGCCACAGTCACAAACGCAGCACAGAAGCAGTTCACACGGACACATTTTGTAGATGCCAGCTGTTCTTCACTGCTGCATTTCTGCCTCTGCCACTCTCTTAATGGCACAAGCATGTGCTATTTTGAAGAACAAGTAAAATGTGTGATGTTTGCAAATATGAAAATACTCATTTACCATCTTTTATGAAAGGAGTTTTTAACTGCATTTATGATATATGGCCATACATATGCACATGTACGCATACTCAAGACAGATGTCTTTAAGACTCTATTGAAAAATACGGGACATTATCGCCAAAAATTGCAAAGACACTAATAAGCACAAATTTTCACATGTGGCTGCAAAATTCATTTTTCCCTAAAACTGACACATGAAACCTAGCTCTAAGATTAACAGTCTAGCCAGCATCAACATTCATTACAAATAATTAAAATTGCCACTTACTGAGTGGCTCTACATGCAAGGCATAAACACACACTGGCTCATTTAATTTCATTTTCACCACAACTGTTAGAGGTGCACTGTCC